CAACGACCCCACGCCGTTCAAAGTAGGCCTACGCAGGTCAAAGTATGTATGTGCAGATAATTGCCCTCTATAATGTGCAGATAATGTATAATGTGCAGATAATGTACAGATATTGCAAAGATAATATGTGCAGATAGTTGACAACACCCTCAAGAAGACCTCTGTAAATTTTTAATACTGTAGGTCCTACACCCACATTAGTCATTAACCAAACTCACGACGACATGGGTGTGTAATTGTAAACGCTACTCTGACCATTACTATCGTGCATCCTACATCATGCATGAAAGAAATGCATGGTAAACTTACATTATTTACGTAATGTTGATATGTAGGCTGTAAATCACAGACACAGGCACGAGTGAAACGAATGTCTTTCTCTCTTACTAAAATACATAAGAACACAAAAGGGAAACCATCAACACGTTCCTAGGAGCACCACTCCGCACAACATTCCTGCTAGACCTATCCCGTAAGCCGCAGCTCGCTTCAGACACCGAGCACCCTGAGAACAATATATATAGAATTGCTTATACAGCGAGGCACCGAGCCCCAGACTAAAAGCTGACGGCGTGACGCCATGTCAACCACACCAGTTGCTGCCATCTACTGGGAATATAACTAACTAATTTCACGTTAATAATCTATGCTTTCAAAGATTATACACCTATGAAACCATGTATGTATGTATGTATGTATGTATGTATGTATGTATGTATGTATGTATGTATGTATACCATAGTAATGGCCGGGTATATATCTATTTCTTTGCTCACTTCAATCAGGCACCCATGCAGTCATATCGCGTTTCCCTATACAGCAGGTTATACCTTTGTGTGCGCATGCCTAGTATCTGCCAAGAGATCGAAACACAATTTTGTTAAAATAATTTTTTTTAAATGGAGAGCAGATACCCACCACTGGCACCAGTAGCTTAAGATGAAAGAACTGATGTTAGAACTATAATTTGTAGTATTTCTTCTTCTTCTTCTTTTTTTCTTTTTCTTCTTCTTCTTCTTCTTCTTCTAATTCTTTGTCGTAGTCTCTCGCGGATGGTCTACGCTGAAACGTCAGCTAGGGGCTGACCTCCCTAGCTGTTGATGATTCTTCTCCACCTTCCTCGATCGGCCGTATAGCGTTATCCGTTACTCCCAACCTTCTCATCTCCGCCTCCACTCCATCCCTCCATCCAATTCTCTGTTGTCCTCTCGTCCTTCTTCCTCTCACCGGCTCCTGCCATGCTCTCTTCGTTTGCTCCTCATCTCTCTTCCTAACCACATGCCCATTCCATGTAGTATATTTAACCGTTATCAAATTAATAAAATGGTGTCTTGTTTATTTTATACTTTCAATATAGAGTGCACATACCCACAGGTAGATTGACGTGAAATATATATATATATATATCCGAAATTCCCACTTTAATTATCAAAATTACGAGAGACATGTATACGCAAATGCCCGGTATCCGTCAGTCAGCCCCGTATGCTTTTAATATAGAGTTCACACACACACAAGCGGTTTGAAATGATCACTTTAATCCCTTTATTAATTATAAGGCGCCGAAGTTTTGAAATGAGGGGGGAGAGAGGGGAGAGAGAAAGAAAAATAGAAACAGAGAAAGCGCGCGCGAGAGAGTCAGAATAGGAGAGAGCGAGCGAGCTAGAGAAAAAACGCGAGAGAGAGAGCGAGAGAGCAAGCAAAATAATGATAGAGAGAGGGAGAGAGAGGGTGAAAGGGAGCGAAGGGAGAAGAGAAATAGAAAGAGAGAGAGAGAGCGCGCAAAAAGAAAAGTGAGAATGGGAGATGGAGAGAGAGAGAGAGAGAGAAGAGAGAGAGAAAAGAGAGAAAGAGAGAGAGAGAGAGAGAGAGAGAGAGAGAGAGAGAGAGGGAGCAAGCAAAATAATGAGAGAAAGAGAGAGCGATAGAGAGAGAGAGAGAGAGAGAAAGAGAAAAGAGAGTGATAGAGAGAGAGAGAGAGAGAGAGAGAGCGAGCAATCAAGCAAAATAATGAGAGAGAGATGGGGGAGAGGGAGAAAGGGAGAAAGAGAAATCGAAAGAGAGAGA